GTAGATACTTCTACATTGTTTGCTTCAAGTTTTTGTAAGCAGGGGGAGAATTTGAATTTGGGCAGGTGTAAAAGATCTGAGGCAAAAGCAGAAGGGGACAGCAGACAAAGAGATGGTTGGATGGCATCACCGACTCAACGGACATGGATCTGAGCAAACTCCGGGAGATGGTGAAGGATATAGGGTAGCCTGGCGTACTTCAGGCCATGGGCTTGCCAAGAGTCAGACACAACTTAGCAACTGAACAACAGAAAGGTCTAAGGAGACCTGAAGCTCGAAATAGAGATGTCAGGTGTCATTGGGAGATAACTGCATCCTTGAGGGTGGCCCTGAGTCCTCACCTGAAATGCTGGCAGTGGAGCCCCTCCTGAAACCCGGCAGAGAAATTCTCTCCCCAGGCAGCCCAGAGCTCTGCCCCACTCTCCCCAGAGCTTCATGGACCATGTGCTGTGGAACTTGTGGAGGTAATGTATCCAAGACTTCACTTACTGAGAGGAATAGCTGGCTGTCTTGAAAACTTACTGCAAAAAAAATATTTAGGAAACATTATGACCGTGTGGATCACAACAAACAGTGGAAAATTCTTAAAGAGATAGGAGTACCAGACCACCTGACCTGCCTCTTAAGAAATCTGTATGCAGGTCAGGAAGCAACAATTAGAATTGGACATGGAACAACAGACTGATTCCAAATCGGGAAAGGAATACATCATGGCTGTATATTGTCACTCTGCTTATTTAACTTATATGCAGAGTACATCATGAGAAACGCTGGGCTGGATGAAGCACAAGCTGGAATCAAGATTGCCAGGAGAAATGTCAATAACCTCAGATATGCAGATGACACCCCCCCCCCTTATGGCAGAAAGCAAAGAACTGAAGAGCCTCTTGATGAAAGTGAAAGAGGAGAATAAAAAAGTGGACTTAAAACTCAGCATTCAGAAAACTAAGATCATGGCATCTGGTCCCATTACTTCATTTCAAATAGATGGGGAAACAGTAGAAACAATGACAGACTTTATTTTTGGGGGCTCCAAAATCACTGCAGATGGTGACTGCAGCCATGAAATTAAGACGCTTGCTCCTTGGAAGAAAAGTTAGGATCAACCTAGACAGCATATTAAAAAGCAGAGACATTACTTTGTCAACAAAGGTCCATCTAGTCAAGTCTGTGGTTTTTCCAGTGGTCATGTATGGATGTGAGAGTTGAACTATAAAGAAAGCAGAGTGCCGAAAAATTGATGCTTTTGAACTGTGGTATTGGAGAAGACTCTTGAGAGTCCCTTGGACTGCAAGGAGATCCAACCAGTCCATCCTGAAGGAAATCAGTCCTGAATATTCATTGGAAGGACTGATGTTGAAGCTGAAACTCCAATCCTTTGGCCACCTGTTGCGAAGAACTGACTCATTTGAAAAGACCCTGATGCTGGGAAAGATTGAGGGCAGGAGGAGAAGGGGACAACAGAGGATGAGATGGATGGATGCATCACTAACCCAGTGGACATGAATTTGAGTAAACTCTGGGAGTTGGCGATGGACAGGGAGGCCTGGCGTGCTGCAGTCCATGGGGTCGCAAATATTCGGACATGACTGAGGGACTGAACTGAACTTAACTGATGAATCCTTACCTTGGGCTATAATCAGGTGAAGACAAATTGGGTCCTTAGAACGTATTAGTTACTTCTCGGCTTTCTGTATTCACTCAGCTATAAAACCTAATGTTTGGTTTGTGGCTTTGCTTCAGATGATGTTCCTGGTGTGATGTTCTATCAGTGAAAACATTGCCCATATTCAAACTCCTTAGGCCCATTGATCTGTATTGGAAAATTTCATGCAAGCATGTGTAATGAGTATCACACTAGGGCACAAGACATTCAAAGATGTATACATCATGGTCCTTGCCTCAAATATTTCAAAATCTTAGACTCGGGAGGAAAGGTTGTATTTTTTTTTTCCTTCTAAATATAATATTACCGTGTTTGCCGTTTTTCTGGCCTATCCACCTGTGCCGAAGAAAAGTAATTTTTGTAGTAAATCAGTTGTACATAGTTGTCAAGTTTATCCTGAAAAGTTCAGCCAGCACCTGGCTTTCTCTGGCAGCTGAATAATATGGAAACTCTCATGATTTGCTGGCATAAAACAGGACCCCCGGTGGGACCAGAGATGACTATGTACAGCCTGTGGAAGGGCATGAGCTGAAGCTGCCACAGATGGGAAGAAGCAGCAGATTAGGCTCTAGAAATAGGAAGCACCTACAGAAGGATATGAAGAGACTGTGCTGAAAGCAGGAGGACCTAAAGGGACAGCTGATTTTGGCGGCAAAGAAAAAGGCAGGGATGTGGGGCAGAGAGTGGAGCTAAAATATTAAAAGGAATGAACACCATGCAGATGATGAGAGTTTTAAAATACTCTCCTTTATTTTTCACTAGGCTGTATGGAACCTCCAGATTCTCCTACAGAATCTGGAGATCTGAAGACCAGTCAGTAGAGTCTCATCTTCCTGAAATAATTTAGATGTGATCGATCACCTAAAGGAAGAGAAACCATTTTTTTTAACATAGTCTAGAAGATTTGGGGGGTCCTTGGTGGCTCAGACAGTGAAGAATATGTCTGCAATGTGGGAGACCTGGGTTTTATCCCTGGGGTGGGAAGATTCCCTGGAGGAGGGCATGGCAACCCACTCCAGTATTCTTGCCTGGAGAATTCCATGGACAGAGGAGCCTGGCAGGCTACAGTCCATGGGGTCTCAAAGAGTTGGACACAGCTGAGTGAATAAGCTTATAATAGATTTTCAGAGTGTCTCTGATTCTATAAAGGACTAGAAAAAGACTGTAATAGCAATCTTTTTTTTTTCCTCTTGGTTCTTAATTTTAAATAATATAAAGGAAATTCTTAAAAGGCAGAGAATCCCATGTACGTTAACTGTCTTCACATTCCTCTGTTCCCTTCCATCCTCAGCCAGCTCATCCGTGTTTGTTGGGAAGTTGAAATGATACTGTTGGTCTGCATGTGGGTATGGGGGGGCTCTAGGGTCTCAGATGGAGAGGGTCCTCATCTCCCGCTCTTGTTTCTCTCCCCCTCCACTGCATTATATTGTGTTCAATGTGTGTGGGCTTTTGTTTGGACTTAGCCTTAAAAAATGTGTCTAGCTGTCAGGCTCTTTGAAGAGATCAGAGCTGTAATTCATGGATTCCCTCAGCCATCCCAGTGGAAGTCAGAAACAGAGATGGAGTTTCTTGAAAAGATCTGTAAATGAGCCTTTTGTCTAATGGACAGAAGACCCTCCAAGTTCTTGGGTGTTATACCAGCAGGAACATTGCCACATTGGACTGAGGGGAATAGAAAGAAGCTGAAATGAAATAAGACTGATTGACTTCTCAAATTCTGTAGACAAGGAACCAAAAAAAGATGAAATAAGACTGATCAACTCCCCAAATTCTGTAGGCAAGAAACAGGTTGATAAAACTGTTCAACCACAGGGCTTTCCCTGGTGGTCCAGTGGCTAAGACTCCACACTCCCAGTGCTGGGGGCCCAGGTCAGAGAGCTAGATCCCACGTGATACAACTAAGACCAGGTGCAGTCAAATAAATAAAAGTTTTTTTTTTTTTTTTAATGTGTGTAGTTTTGTGTGCAGCTGTTTTTAGTGCACATAATGGTACCAGTCTGTACATACCATTCTGTTTCTCTCTAAACATGTTTTGGTGTTTGCTTCTGGCCTGTTATGCTCTGGGATTCTAGGCAGTACTTAGATATATTTTGCTTACCCTCCTGCTCCCCACTGCCACAGATAACTCTGTTCTATGCACCCTCCAGCAGGTCACTCACTTTCTGATATCTCCTGGGAGAGGATGTGTATCTGTGGGTCAATTTGCTGAGTCATACTTGTGGATCAGTGGTAACAAATCTACCTGCCAATGCAGGAGACGTGGGTTTGATCCCTGGGTCAGGAAGATCCCGTGGACAAGGAAATGGCAACCACTCCAGTATTCTTACGTGAGAAATCCCACGGACAGAGGAGCCTGGCGGGCTCCAGTCCATGGGGTAACAAAGAGTTAGACACGACTTAGCGGCTAAACAACAGCAGCAGGCTGTGTATAATTACTTTGCTGGAATGGTTTTACCAGTTTACATTCCGTGTAGCAGCTTGCATCTTTGCCAACCCTAGAATTATCCAACTTTCTGATTTTTGCCATGCTAATAGCTGTAAAATGATAGCTCGTCTTAATTTGCATTTTTCTGATCTCATACAAGTTAGAGCATCTTTTCATAGTTAGTTCAATCTTGTACTTTTTGTCACTTAACTGTATATCCATTGATATATGTCTCTCTGGTTTTCAGTGTCCTGGTTGATTATATTAAGAGGTATTTTGTTATAACAGGTTGAATCATTTGTAGCTGCCAAACTACTAGGTTGACTGGTTTTGACCTTTAAAAGCAGCTCGATCTGTGGTCCACATTAATTTGTTGTTGAACATAAAGGTCTTTCCAAGTTTTCATTATTATAAATGATACTGCAGTAACCATATACTGTGCCTAGCATTTTCCTTGTTTTGATTTTTCCTTAGGATAAGTAAGGGAAAGATTACTGAGTTATGGACATTTTTGTGGCTATTGTTACATATTGACAAATCACTTTCTAAAAGGGCTGTACTGATTTACATTGTATATCAATTATATCACCATACTAGTTTAACTTCATCATTATACATTATCATTTAAACAAAATACTTGGATAACTATAAGGCATAACCTCTTTGTTATTTGTACTATTTAATTACAGTTCAGTTCAGTTCAGTTAGCATTAATCATTTATTCATGTATACATTGATGACCAATATGTTTTTATGAGTTTGGTCTATTTGTACCTTCAACCCATTTTTCTTTTAGTGTCTTCTTGTTTTTTCAAAGTCATTTTGAGAATGGGTTTTAATATACTGTAATTTACCCTATCCTCAATTCCTGAAAGTGAAATCATTCACTTATATCATTTTATTCCTCAGATGACAATCCAAACAAAACACATGATAAAAAAGAGAAGAAGATGGTGGTTCAGAAGCCCCATGGTACTATGGAATACACTGTAAGTATAAACAGGTAGTGCAAACATTTGTTAATACCTCTAGATTTACATAATGTTTCTCCTGACACATCCCACCCCTTAGCTGCCTTTCTCTTGTGTGGCCATTAAATAGCAAAGCTTCTTAAGACCTCCGTCATTTCTCCTTTCTATAGTTTTTCCCTGAGTAAACCTGGTACTTGAATTACCTTTGATACGCCAGTGATGAGTAATTTTAGGTCTCCTTCCTAGTCATGCTTTCTGACTTCCCAAACCATTTATTCAGTTGTCTACTCGACACATTCACTTAGACCTTTGGGCTTGGCCTTTTTTCAAGAAGCAGTGACTCCATCATCCATACATTTCTATAAACCAGAACTTCAGCCTAAACATCATCTTCCTATCACTCTCCACGTTCATTCTTCCTTTCTGTGACCATCCTGCAAGTCTAGGGCTGATCCCTTCATTCTACTGTCTCATCGAATTGTGTTCTTTTGCATAATCTTTATCAGTTTAACAGTGTTGATCCACTAGTATAATTGTTATCTTTCAATGTCTGTCTTGTGCCTTAATTCACATACCCATGGAGAGAGACCAGATCCCATTTTGGTTGCCATTCTAATTCTGGTGCTGGCAGGGTATTAGACCTCCATATGGTTGAATCAGCAGATGAATGATGCAGTGCATGTGTCCATGACTGCACCTCCCCATTATGTACTCATCTCTCCCATCACACCATGAGTTTCTGGAGGCCAGCAGCTGTGCATGCTTATCCCAGGCCTGGCACGAAGTGGGCACTCAGTTATAGATCTGTTTTCATTACTTTGAACTGGCATTGCTGAGGAGTGATCTCTGATTTCTAGAAAGAAATTAAGTGCTGTTGCCCCTGCCTCTGTGTTTTCCTCATGTGTATTTATTTTCTACTCATTATTTGTGTGCAATGCCTGGCTCTTGATATAAGGCAAGCAGCAAGGCCTGTCCCCCCCCCCGGCATTTCTTCTAGAATGGTGAATCTTCTCCAAGCTTCTGTAAAGCATCACATTTGAAAGGTTGTTGCTGAACAATGGAAAGACTCCGGGATTCTTGGCCTCCGGAGGAGAAGAATTCAATTCAGGGCCAGAGACAAGGCTTAGTAAAACTTTAAGTTTTACTAAAGTATAAAGGAGATAGAGAAAGCTTCTGACACAGACATCAGAAGGGGACAGAAAGAATACCCCACTGCTAGTCTTTAGCTGGATGTTATATAGCTACTAGCAGTCTGCTAATTAAAGGAAGGAAATGTCTCAAAACTCAGAGAATGGTATCAGGCCCCTCACCCACACGATGCATTTTGAGATAATCTTGGCACTGGCGGAGTCATCCTGGGCCATAAAACGATTGACATGAATCTTGAAGAAAGGCAGATTCCCATACAAATATATAGTTTCAATAACATAGATTAAGAGAACAATGTATGAGTATAACATACTGGTTTGTCAGGTCAGTTCTGAACCTTTAGGCAAACTGACTTGAAGACAGAGTCTGGGGTAAATGCATAGTACATTAACATAGCTTAAGACAAACATTTCCATAAGAAAAATGCATTGGTTAACTTAAGGTTTGAGAAAAGTTAAGTTCAGGTGGAACCAGGTGTCATTATGGCAACACAGTATTTTAAGACTAACCTCTTTTTAAACTTGTATAGAGAAGGGGGGAAAAATATATCACTAGTTTGTTTCCTCCTGCTGCTTAAGAGAGAGAGAAAAAATGTCTGACACTTGCAGCCTATTTCCTCCATTTGGAGACCCCCGGCCTTCCTGCCTGTTATCTCCCACACTGGAGGCCCTGGCACTGGCATTTCATGCACAGTGCTCTGTGGACATCTTTCTAGGCATCTTTCTATGGTTTATAGGCCTGGGCCTTTCCAGGAAGATTTGGGGGTGATTATGTATGTCCCATTACCACTGGCTGCAGTATGTTGTTGATGCCCATAACACCTAGCACAGTGCCTTTACCTCCTGCAAGATCTTGCTTAAGTGTTGGATTGTTTATCACTAAAAACATCATTGATTCTAAAGCCATGTATATATCCTACAGTGTGACTCACAAGCACCTCCAAGGATATGAGAAGTAGTCTTTGCTAGGAGATGCTTCACACAGGGTGTACTAAACGATGCAGTGAGCGTAAAAAATCAACCCCAAATTAATTCATATAAATGGGTGATCAAATTAGTAATGCAGATCTGTCCACCTGATTGATTCATGTTATGGAGATTAGTTGGCTAGTTATTTTGTGTACTTCTCATTATTAAAAGGTGACCCATAACTTTGTGTTTAGAGAACCATGACCAGAGCCACTTACACAATTGCTTATATTGTTCCAGTGCTGTGAATGTTCAAGCATTCTGTTTAGTTTCAGACATTTAATGATGCAAGTTATCCCTCCCCAGGTTCTGTAACTTGGTTCTGTATATATGTTTTATGCTTGTGTAATACCTGCAGATCATTAAAGTTTTCCTCCTCCCCAGAAGCCCCTGTACATAGTATCCTCAAGTTTTTGTGTAAAAATATGAAGCCAGTTTATTGATCACTTGTCATATGTATCTCCATTTGGATGAAGAAACCGAGGAACAGAGAAGTTAAGCAAGTGACCCAAGGTCACACAGCTGGCAAATGGCAGATTTGAAATTCAGGTCCAACAGTCTGACTGTAGTCTGTCTACATTATCAATCTGTGTCTTCTACTGACTAAACCTTGAAAAGCTGTGGGTTTGAATATATTATGTTAATATGTACTGCTTGAAAAAATATTTGAAAACTTTTTTGTTAACCTTTAGTGCTGATGATTTTGCTCAGGGTAAGGTAGGGGCATCTGTTAAGTTTTCAGTAACTTTTTAAAAATTTATGTATTTCTATCTTGTTCTAGAAATGTTTGAGGTAGTTTTAGTAACTGTGAACTTGGTTATAGTTCTGGGACAGTTATAGAACTGGGACAGTACAAGTAGTTGGTGGGCTTTTGATACCTGAGGGCAGTGAGTGGTAAGTGGAACTCGACATCTGTCTCATTTCAGCTGCTTACAAATTCCTTCAGGTGCCTCAAATCTCCGCCTGTAATTCAAGGCTCGCCTGGCGGAGCCCGTTGAGCTTACAGAGTTGGCCACCGGTGTTGACCCAGGGCTGTAGTTGGGAGCATCTCAGTGCTGGCTCTTCGTGGTCGCGGGGGCTTTCTCTCGTTGCGATGTGGAGGCTCCTCACCACAGTGGCTCCTCTTGTGAACACAGGCTCTGGGGCACGTGGCTTTCAGTAACTGCAGCGTGTGGTTTCCGTAGTTGCGCATCCCGAGCTCTAGGTCACAGGCTCGCTCGTTGTGGCAGGAGGGCTTAGTTGCTCCACAGAGTGTGGGGTCTCCCCAGATCAGGGATCAAACCTGTGTCTCCTGCATTGGCGGGTGGATTCTTTACCACTGAGCCACCAGCAAAGTCCCGCCCTTTTTATTCCTCTTCCTCCTCTATTAGAGAAGGACAGAGACATGAACAGCTGAAACATACCACAAATTTTATGGATTTAAAGAATGACACTAATTTGGCTGACTGTGGGAAATTGTCATGTTAATGTCAGTGGACAGGTTTTGGTCGCTACTCTGAGTCCTTTTAGATTTCCATGCCTTTCACTGTATTCACTCATCAAATATTTAAATGCCTTCTATGTGTCAGGCACTGTAGGGAAAATGGTCTTTAACAGGCCACAATCCAGGAGCCTAAAGTACAGTAAAGAGACAGGCAAATAGAAAAATGCTAAGAGAGAAACTAGCTCCGTTTCCCCTATGAATAATGTTATGTGTAATATTTCTTTTCTTCTTAGCTTTATATTATAACTGATAGACCCTCTGCTCCACACACCTAAGTTGTGCCAGAGTAAGCTTAGAAATCTATTAGTAGACGGTGAAATTTGCAAATAAGGGAGCCCAGAAATGAATAATATTTAAGACTTTTTTGTTAAGAATTGAGAATGTATTTGCTTTTTTCATAATACATTTGGATGTATGTGTTACTTTTTTATTCACTCATATCAAAAATAGATTAAGTGACTATCAGGAGAAAGATTTTGTCTGTCTTTTGCTTTGTGTATTGAATCTTGTTTGTTTGATTATTCTAGGCTGGAAGCCAGGACACCCTAAACTCCATAGCACTGAAATTTAACATCACTCCCAATAAATTAGTGGAACTGAATAAGCTTTTCACGCACACTATTGTTCCAGGCCAGGTAATGATTTTCTTATTGAATTTTCCTTTAGAAACATTTTACTTTTAGAAATTTATTTTCACTGCCATTTTTAATGACTTGCTCTTAGCGTCTCAGGACTGTCATCATTATTACTGTGTCTTGGTTCAGTCTCTTAGATCCAAGACTTCTGAAAGTGTCCTGATGCTTATGAACTGTTCAGAGATAAATGCTTTGCAAATGATTAACACAGGTGATTTAACTATCCTTTGTGTTAATAGATGTTTCCATCAAGAAAAGTTAAATTAATGTAACTTTTTTTCCCTGTAGAATTTCATACAGATATTCTTCAAATGTTTGGTTTAGAATTGCAAGTTTCAGTTTAGTCCTCTCATGGGGTATATTATGGCCATTGTTTTATTTTAAATAAGGCAAAATTTGTGTCATTTTGGCCTTCATTTGATACCATGACAAAAGTAATCAGTCTGGCCAAAGGTGGAGACTTTCAGCAGGATCATTAAGAAAAGGCCACAGACGCATGAAAAGACGCTCATCATTGCTAATTATTAAAGAAATGCAAATAAAAGTACAATGATGTATTACTTCACACTGGTCAGAATGGTAGCCATCAAAAAGTTTACAAATAAATAAATTTTAGTAACATTGAGTTCTTTCACGGTGGATGCTGCTACTTCTAAGAATAACTTCATTCGGGCAATGGTAGTATTCTTTGCATTTATTTCAAGGGCAGCAAATGAAGCCACCAGGCTATAAATTGGCCAGTTTGTACTAACATGCTTTTGGTATTTATGTCCTTGTTATAAATGAGAGAAATTAGTTTACTGCCAGTACCAGGTAATTGAGGGCAAATATGAATTAAAAATTTTCAAAACTTAACACATTTTTACCTCTGGGAAAGTAATAGATTTTAGTCATTTTTATTGGGTTTCTTATAGTCTGGGATATTGCTGAATAATGTGTTAACTGACCCATAGCAGAGAACCTGGACATATCCTTACTAATTCAAGCTGTAGCCACTGGAACTTACTAAGATAATTTAGGGTGATTATTCTTTTAGCAAGTCCATGAACGAGATAGTTTATTGGTACTGGATTAAGGTCCAGCAGCTAATAGGAGGTATAGGAACTGTCTTCATATGCCCTGTTGTTGTTATTCAGTTGCTCAATCATGTCCAGCTGTGTGACCCCATGGACTGTAGCACGCCAGGCTCCTCTGTCCTGCACCATCTCCTGGAGTTTGCTCAACTTCATGGCCCTTGAGTTGGTGATGCTGTCCAACCATCTCCTCTAACCATCTTAATATACCTCCTTAAGGATAATAATACAAAAATAGGTGCCCCAAAGCTTCATTTCCTTTGACCCTTTAAGAGCTGTTAAACTTGGGCAAGTCACTTCCTTTTTGACCTTGGTTTCATCTCTGAAATGAGGGGTTGGCCTACATTTACTCAGATGGTCCTTCTTGCCTTTGCTGTGCTGCGTAGCCCTCATATAACTAGTTATCTGCTGTTAGTTGTCCCAAGATCTGGCTGTGCTCATGATTTTTCTGGCCAAGATGAGGAATTAAGAAGAGTGATCCAGACTCACTTGCATGTTTTAGGAGAACATACAGTGACTGGACTTCTCCATGTTAACACTGTCACTTCTATCTACAGTACAGTGGGCTATTTAAGCATAGGAATTATCTCTTTGATTTGACGTTTAGAATGTCAGGCAGTAGAATCTCAACCTACGTTGCCTAACACTTGTCAAGAGCTCAGGTGCAAAAAGAAAATATTAATAGAGAATTGACATCTGTTTGGAAGAAATCTGTTTCTGTGCAAGCCCAGAAACATACAGTAAATGAGAGCTGTATACTAAGACCATGTAATTTTAGCCTTCTGTAAATTATTTTCACGAAACTCTAACCTTTTGACATTTGCCACCGACCCATTTTGACGTTGTTACAAAGAACAGTCCTTCAAAACTGGTTATTGCATTTACTGTCAATGTGTCATTAAGACAAAGAGTTCACTGTGAGACACATTTTTTTTTTTATGAGGCTTTGTGGGAGACTACTTGTACTAGTAAGAAACTGGTTTGTTTTTATTTTATGGACAGTGAATTCTGTTGACGCATGATGTCTTATCTCTTTGCATTGGTTATTTGGAAACTTAGACCAAATTTTATGGCCCACTTCTTAATGAATGTTTGGTAATTTGGAAGCTCATATTTTCAGTACTATCAGTCCTCATCTTATTTCTCCTTGATGATGATTTTTCCACCTTTATCTTAAGGTGTGTTTTGTTCTTGGCTCACTTTTTTTCTGGATTGAAGAGAGATTTAAAAGCACTAAAGTTAAAATTTGTCTATGACAAACCTAGATAGTGTGTTGGAAAGCAGAGACATTTCTCTCCCAACAAAGGTTCGTATAGTCAAAGCCATGGTCTTCTCTGTGGTCACATACGGTTATGAGAGCTGGGCCATAAAGAAGGCAGAACACCAAAGAATTGACGCCTTTAAATTGTGGTGCTGATGTAGACTCCTGAAAGTCCCTTGGACAGCAAAGAGATCAAAGCAGTCAACCTTAAGGGAAATCAACCCTGAATACTTGTTGGAAGGACTCATGCTGAAGCTCCAGTATTTTGGTTGTCTGATATGAACAGCCAACTCATTGGAAAAGTCCCTGATGCTGGGAAAGATTGAGGGCAGGAGGAGAAGAGGGTGGCAGAGGTGAGATGGCTGGATGGCATCACCAACGCAGTGGACATGAACCTGGGCAAACTTCAGGAGATGGTGAGGGATAGGGAGTTCTGGCGTGCTGCAGTCCATGGGGTCACAAAGAGTTGTACATAACCAGGCTACTGAACAACAAAGTTAAAATAGAGATATGCAAAGGAATGATTTGAGTGAGCCCAGACTCTTGCATCTTCCCATACAAGAAAAGTGCTAAATTCCTTAACCTGGGATATCCGGTTTTCTTTAGCAATAATCTATTGATGTTCAAACTACCTGCCCTTTGTAAAACTCCTGTATAACCTGGCTCCTCCCCTTGCCTCCTCAGAGCAGTTCTCTCAGGGTTACTTGAGATGCTGTCTCCTGGGCTTAAGTCCTAAAACTTCCCACTGAATAAAACAGAACTCTCAAAAATAAATAAGTAAATAAAATAGAGATATGACTAGAAGATGGGGCAGAGTGTTCAGTAACAATATTCAACAGTTGTTACATGATTAGCTGTGAATTACAGTAGCTCAGATGGTAAAGAACCTGCCTGCAATGCAGGAGACCCCGGTTCAATCCCTGGGTTTGGAAGATCCCCTGGAGAAAGGAATGGCAACCGACTCCAGTATTCCTGCTTGGAGAATCCCATGGACAGACCATGGGGTCACAAAGAGTTGGACATGACTGACTAACACTTTCACTTTCACATGTTTTATAACGTTAGAGGTCATTTTAGGATAGTATTTGACATAATGCCAGAATGTAGCATGTATTGTTAAAACAGTGTTGAATAACAGAATCGTAATAGCATTTCGGGAACCAGACTATCTTGCAGAAGAAAGCAGTTTAGTGCAGTATGGGCTCATTCGCTCAGTTGTGCCCGATTCTTTGTGGCTCTATTGACTGTGGCCCGCCAGGCTCCTCTGTCCATGGAATTCTCCAGGCAAGAATACTGGAGTGGGATGCCATTTCCTACTCCAGGGGATCTTCCTGACCCAAGGATCGAACCTGCATCTTTTGTGTCTCCTGCATTGACAGGTGGATTCTTTACCACCAGCGCCACCAATTTAGGGGATTTTTAGATAAGCCAAACAAACAGTGATGGAAGAGAAGGTACTGAGATTATTGATGCTGCTGTGTATAGTTTTTCACATAAGGACCTTACTGCATTAGAGTCAGGAAGCCTCGATGCGTCCTGTTTGTTCCTGACACGGGTGTTATGTTTAGAAGTATGCCATGCTACTCGCGTCTATGCCCTTGTACTATCGTACCCTGCCCTGAAAGGCTCTTCCCTTCCTGTCCAAATCCTGCTGCCCATGGCTTCATTTGGACTCACCTGCTTCACATAGCCTATGCAGAATATTCCCCCACCTTTCTCTGTTCTGTGAGCACCTGCAGTATGTTCAGCACCCTTTGTACCACACACATTCCTGTTGCTGAATACTATTTCACAGATTAGTCTGGGAGACCCCGAGTAAGTCAGAAGTTCAGTGCAAGCCAGTGAGGTCTTCATCCCACACCCAGCATGATAACTGTGTGGAGAGTCACTAGTCTGAATGCTGCCCTGGTTCTTGGGACTCACCTAGCCTTTCTTTCCCATTCTCAGGTTCTTTTTGTACCAGATGCCAACTTTCCCTCGAGTACCTTAAGGTTATCATCATCCAGTCCTGGTGCTACTGTCTCCCCTTCATCATCAGATGCAGAATACGATAAACTGCCTGTATGTATTTCATTCCTGCACTGAAGCTCAGGTTTATCAGCACCGGTTTTTGAGTTATTATCGAAAATAGGTCACGTTATTTTTCTCAAGAGTTCATCGGAAACTCTCCTCCCTCACTGAAGAGGTGGGGTTAAAATAATTTGTCATTAGTTGAGAGAAGAAACCTGTTCACATTTAAGGTCTCAAAGGCAGAAATGCATGTCTTGTTTATGTGGAAGTTAAAACTCTCAGTGAGGCCAGTAGTTTATTTGTAACACTTTTACTCCTTTTTCTACAGAATTTGAATGAGTTCAATATGAATTCTTTCATTTAAGGTATTTTCTAAAGATGTGATGAGGCATTTTTATATGTTCATACATATACGCTTTAAAAATCTTAATTTGACTTGGGTGATTATTTTTGAAGGATGGAAGACATTTGCCTTTTATAAATATTCAAGTTTAATAAAAACAGGTTACTTATAGGAAACTTAGATAACTGAATTCATATAAATAAATAATATTTTTTAAAAGTGCTTCTATTTATGGAAATTTTTGCTTTCTAAAGGATGCTGACTTAGCAAGAAAGGCCTTAAAACCCATCGAGAGAGTCTTATCATCCACTTCAGAAGAGGACGAGCCAGGAGTGGTAAAATTTTTGAAAATGAATTGCCGGTACTTCACTGATGGAAAGGTATATGGCTATGCAATTTGTTTTTTTCTTTCTTTTTTTTTTTTTCTTCTTCTTAGAATCTGTGGAAAACTAAACCAGTTCCAAATTACCAAAGGCAGACTACTTAAAAATATCTTACCCGAAGTTTCAGCTGCAAGATTTCACAACTGTGCATTTGTTTTTTCCTCTTGGATGCCTGGCATTTTACTTACTAAGGGAATAGTAACCATTGAGCGGAAAATGTGATTCTTTGTGATCTTGGGTTTATCACTTATATTTCAGTTCTTAGCCCATGAAGTTTTAGGGAGACAGTATAGAATGTGTTTTAACAGCAAATGCTAGAGTCAGAGTAACTGAACTTAAATGCCAGCTCTACTGCCGCTAGCTCTGACACCACGGGCGAAATATTTACATTTCCTAAGCTTCCATTTTCCTCATCTATGAAGTAGGAATAATAATAAAATTTAATTAGTAGGGTGTGCTAATTAGAAGATAGTTCATGATAACCAACAGGGATGTACTGTGTAGAGAGCCCAGTGTTATGTGGCAGCCTGGATGGGAGGGGGGTTTATTATGGCTGAGTCCTTTTGCTGTTTGAATCTATCACAGCATTGTTTGTTGATTGGTTATACCCCAGTGCAAAATAAAGCATTTAAAAAAATAATTAAAAACAAAAAAAGATGATTCATTTAAGGAGCTTAGCACTTGACCTGGAAAATGATAAGTTATCAACTTGTTTGCCACTAGAGATGCTGGTTTGAAAATGTCTGTTATATAATTTTTTTAGTTTGTTGCTTGTTGGTGTTTTGTATAAAAAACAAACCTGACTTTTAATGAGCCTCTGAAGAAGGGGTAATGTTGATATAAAGCGAATTCCTGTGCTCATAGGAATGCTAGGTTCCAATGGTAGGAAAAACTTTTGCAACTAAGAATAAGTAATGTCTGAAAGGCAAAACTTTTTGCTAAGGTGATCACTAAACTCATTAAGGGTATCAAAATAAATAATTTACCTAAAGGGAGTCATCTGTATCCTACTGTGCCTGGTAGACAATATCCCCATGGTCAACATAGTCTACCATGTAAACCGACAAAGTTTCAAACAAGCTCCCACCATGCTACTGTTTTTGCTTTCTTTTTTTTTTTTCTTTTAGACCACACCACATGGCTCGTGGGATCTTAGTTCCCCAAGCACGAATTGAACCCAGGCCCTCAGCAGTGAAAGTACTAAGTCCTAACCACTGGAACGTCAGGGAATTCCCAGCTGTTCTTTGCTTTCAGTTTCCATAGTTTGAATGTATTCACTTCTGTTTGTAAAAATTTCATATTCCTTGTAAAGTAATTAGCCTCCAACTAATAAAAATAAATGAAAAAAAAATTTCATATTCCTGTTTGCTGAATGTGGGCTTTCTAAGCATCTTAGATCAAAATATTAGGGGTGTTCTTTGGCACCGAGACTGAGATAGCTGCCCCCAGAGCACAGTACCATGCACTTGCTGGACACGTGAATATGTGCTGAGTGAATTGTAAAGTCCATAGTTCTCAATCAGGACACCACCTGGGACAGCCCTTCTCATTTTACCAACAGGGAACTGGGGAATCTGAGACATACATGTGAAACCCAAGATCCCTGTTCTATTGAGCAGCCATGTGAACCAAGCTCAGCTGATGGCCACGGCGAGGCATGTCTGGTTCTCTGACTTAGCACTCCGTACCCAATGATGCAATTTCTTCAGCCTGTTTTTCCAGTAGAAGGGTTGCAATTGTCCTGTCAGATACCGGGGTTCACGAAGTCAGTGGAATGGCAACATGGGTTCACTAAAGCCACTATGCTGGCTGCATCTCGCCTATAGCGACTCTGTTCTCTCTTTTTCCTCAGGGTGTGGTCGGAGGCGTCATGATTGTCACTCCTAACAACATCATGTTCGACCCTCACAAGTCTGATCCCCTGGTCATTGAAAATGGCTGTGAGGAATACGGCCTTATCTGCCCCATGGAAGAGGTCGTTTCCATCGCCCTTTACAATGACATCTCCCACATGAAGATCAAAGATGCCTTGCCATCGTAAGACACCTTTCTTTGTTTACCAGCCAAGGGAGTATTGGGGGAATTAAATGCAATTAAAAAGTGAGGGCATTGGTGGGAGTGAGAGACTGTGTAGAGGTGAATTTGAAGGTAGAATATCTGTGTACTAAATTTTTAAGAAATAGAAAAAAGAGAAAATAGAAATGATAAAATCAGTAATAGGGAAGAGGAGAACATTCACAGATGAGAAAATCAAAAAAGCTAGCATGTAAAAATGCTGTTTCTTTCGCTTATTTTCCTGAATGTATGTTCTTAATTTACGAAAGAATAAGTGAAGTTTCTCTGAAAGAATTTGTCTGATTGTCAAGAGTTAATCAGGATTTTCTATTCGGTTTAATCGGTAAGCAGAGTTATATTCTTCCTCAGCTTGTGTCTTTCCTTAATCCTTTGTGGAGAGAGATTGGAGTGGACAGTGCAGAGACACTGCCTTGTAGCCAGACTACGTTAAATGGTGTGAGAGTAATAGTAGTTTATTTTGTCTCTGAAGTGTAGATGGATATTGCTTTAGTTCTGATTACTTTTGTCTTCTAAAACTGAGTTTTTTGATTGAAAAAAAGAGAAGCTCCCCATGAAGAAACAGCTGAAGGAAACTCAGAGAATCGATTCACTTGTAGAGCTAATCTGATTCTTTGTCATCTTGTCAGCGTGCCTCATTCTGTATTCCGTGTATGTGCTCGCAGTAAACATCTTTGGAAGCTCTCAGTGGTAGGAAGGAAGAGACAGCAGTGGGTCCAGCAGTACAAAGGGAAACCAGCCCCTTGGACTCATAAAAAGAATGAAAGGAAACTAGGGAACTAACCCAGAAACAGAGTCCCTAGGGGTTTATGCAGGCAGGCTCCCTTGGACTTCTGCAGTCCTTACTGATCCACTAGACCCTGCAGTGGCCTAGCCACTGAAGGAACCATGGAAGCAGGGCCCCTGAGGTCTCTGAGTCCTGGCTGAAGTGTCTAAGTGAGAGGTTCTAGGAGGCAGTACAGCAGGCCAGGAAGTTTTGCGTGACGATGCCTGGATTTTCTGTCACTATATGACTCCATGACCTTCCTGAGTAACTCAATCTTGAGCCTCAGTTTTCTCATCTGTAAAATGGAATTAATAGTATTTTTTAGCCTGCAGAGCTGTTACAAGAACTAAAAGGGTAAATATACCAAAACTCTTAGAAAATAGCCTGCTGCCTAATATGTATAGGTTGTTTACTTGAACCTTCCGTGCATATCTGAAACTCTTCATTATTCTGTGGGAATCTTCTCTTCGTGCAGATTGAGGGTTCTAATACATCTTAGTGCACGCCTCTTGTGTGGCAGGGATATGTTGACGAGTGGGTCACAGCCTCTGTCTCGCTGGCTGCTGGGTACAACAGGCAGACAGGAGTGGTACCTGAATAGCACTGTAGACCTAGACGTGAACACAGCGTCCCATGAGAACCATGTGAGGGAGTGTCCAGCCATCTTGGAATCTTTAGATGAGAAGGAGGAAAGGGAGTGAAGGAGTTAGTTTTGGAAAGAATGAACATGGGGTTCTTTGTGATGAGAGGAAAGAAGACAAGAAAAGGGTAAAGAAACAGTTAAGTTTGGAAGTGGATGGCCAGGCAGTTAAGGACATTTCCTCCCCAGTGATGGCTTTTAATGGAGCAATTCTGTTGCACATCTTTAGGGTAGGATGTTAAGTGTTCTTTTAGTAATAGGGAAGATACATCCTTACAGAAAGATTTCTCTCAATGTGAGATTGTGTTTCATGATCCGAGGCTAACGCTGTAGCTGAGGGGAGAGGGAGGAGTTGAGAATTGGCTCCTGGTGTGCTGAAATTATTTCACAGGTGTACAGTGATTATTCCTGTGGATGCAGGGATCTAAAGACGTTTTTAGTCTAATGAAGAGTATGTGCACCAATGAGCAAAATAGAATGAGGTAGTAGAATCAGTGGCAAATGAATTTGGTACTGACCTCAGAATTCCATCAAGTGTTGAAAAGTTTAAAGTAGTTTAAATTTCATTATTTAAAGTTGTATGTTAAAACAAGAAGTGCAAATTATCTGGTTGCCATGTGCAAATAGTTTTTTTTAATTTTTATTATTAACAAAATTTTTTTATTGGAAGATAATAAAAGTGTGCATGTGTAAAACCTCTCGATCTTTACCTTCAGGCCTTATATACTTTGTACAAGACATTTTGTAGCTCCAGCTGCCATGGAGACTAGGAAGGGAACAACTGAAGGGATTATTGGTCATCATTAGGTCCCTGGTTGAGTCTAGAAAACATTAATTAACAGCAGAGCCAGTTGACACCACTGTGTACGTTGCCCCAGAAGAGCTTGGCAGCTGCCGTACAAAAAAAAAGATGGCTAAATTAATCCTGGCTTGGATTACGTAGAACAAGAAGGAAGGGGTAGATGAGAAGGTAATATAGGAGGCTGATTAGAGTGTAGTCATATGCTTTCTTTGTGGAAGTTAAGCTAGCCAGGGAAGTAAGAGATGAGGAAGGGATTTAGGTGTTCATTGGAAGATGGTTTTGCTTATCAGTTTGATCATTAAGTATGTGAAAAGCTGGGCTTCTTTGTTATAGGACTGACTTTGGTCTTTAATATGCCAAATTAAATTTGGGGTCTGAAAATGGAAATTATGCTACATTATACTTGACTCTAGGATTAAAGCATCTATAACATCTCTTGAGATGCTCATGGTGAGCAGAACATTTTTGTGTGTACAGGCTTCTTCCAAACAGAGACACTGTCACAATTGTCTTTTAGCATATATGGTGTGTAGGGGCTCAGTGAATGGTTATTGAATTGAAATGAATTATGAATTAGAGGCCTTTTAAAGCATTTATCGGGCTTCCCAGGTGGCTCAGAGGTTAAAGCGTCTGCCTGCAATGCAGGAGACCCGGGTTTGATCCCTGGGTCGGGAAGATTCCCTGGAGAAACGAATGGCAACCCACTCCAGTATTCTTGCCTGGAGAATCCCATGGACAGAGGAGCCTGGTAGGCTACAGTCCATGGGGTCGCAAAGAGTTGGACACGACTGAGCGATTCACTTTCACTTTAAAGCATTTATCAGAGCCTAACAGTTACATAGACTTTTGTTTTATATTGGAAAAAACCTGGATGCTCCATGCAAGTGATTTATTCAGTAACTTTGGGGAGACAGTCTTGTAACTTGAACTTCCTAGGACTTTGCTGAGTATTGTCATAATTATTTCAAAGCCAGAATAATAAAGTATTACCTGAATATGATCTAGCCTTTTTAGAAAATTTAGTTCTGAAATCTAAACATGTTATTTTTAAAAAGGGTTTCGTATCTGTGTTTTAGTCCATATCGACAGTAAGGTAAGTAAACTGTGGAGGACTTTGGAAAACATGTTTAATCAATATTTTTTGTATAATTTAAATCTGGGTAATAAAGCATCTGTCACTAAGGAAAAATAATTGACCATGTCCCAGGAAACTGTTTCAGCTGATAAAACAGCTGCTTATTGCCATAAAGTAAAATGGTAGTGTAATAAAATGAAAGAGATAAGAAATGTAAACCAATTGTAAGTAAGAGCTTATTTGACTTATTGTCATAAATTTTTAAACTGTAAAATGGAGCTGGTGCTATATACCTGCAGTAATAGTGGAAATGATCCTCTTGTATCTCTTTTAGGAGTAGAAGGATGTCTCTTTTTGAAAGCGTTGGCTCTTAAACCATGAAACCAAAATTATGGTTCCATGTCAATTACTTTACAGAGCAGTTAAATGAGTAGCTACTTGGTCAGTGAGCCATTCTGATTCATGTCAATGTATGGCAAAACCACTATAATATTGTAAAGTAATTAGCCTCCAATTAAATAAATTTTTAAAAATAAATACAATACATAAATAAAAATAATTTTTAAAAGTAATGTAGTTGGTTTATCTACTATTTTATGAGAAAAGGAAAAGCCTTGAATATCTAAGAAATTTTAGACATAGTACTACAACATTCCCTCTCCTTTGTCTTTCATGAAAATCAGAAACTTTATTTTATCATTAAAAATCTGGTTGGTGACATCTCCATGTTCATAAATGACCTCAAATACCATTCATTTGCTTCTAATAGGATATGCAAGCAACTCTCATGGTTCTTTATTTTGCCACTTTTTATGGCTGATTTAATTTTTCATTTTGAAGTCAACCTCTTGATTTTATTTCCTTGCTTTAAAGTCCTTTAAATATAAATTTGAGTTGTGGTATATTTATGTTTTGGTTTTTTGGTTGGATTTTGTTTTAGTTTTTTTTTTGCCTTTCATCCTTTTGCTTTTGGTTTTGCTTTTAACATTCCATGTGCACCCACAATTTTTCCCCCCGCAGTGACCTACCTCAGGATCTTTGTCCTCTGTACAGGCCTGGAGAATGGGAAGACCTGGCTTCAGAAAAGGATATCAACCCATTCAGTAAGTTCAAATCTCTCAACAAAGAAAAACGGCAGCAGAGTGGGGAGAGAACCATCACTTCAGATTCCACACCAATGGGACCTTCAGAGAAGTCACCAGAATACATAGAAACGAAGCCCTCAGACAGCTCTGTGTCAGACAAGGTAAAGAAACTGGAATCCACTGCAGGGGCAACCCAAGAATCTACCGCAGTAGCTGACGTCAGCAAGGAACCTTCTGACACTCGGGCTGCGTTTGAATCTGTAGCCAAAGAAAATTCTCTTTTAGGGGAAGACGATGACTTCGTTGACTTGGAAGAACTTTCTTCTCAAACTAAAGGTGGAACGGACAAAAGAGACACCTCAAAGGAGTGCCTTTCTCTTGACCCAGAGGAACTAAGGAAGACTAAATCACGAGTAATCAGATCTACGGAAATTCAGTCAGCCCTGAACTTTTCGGGAACAGGGTGTGATGCTGAACTGAAGGGAGCCCTAGACTTAGAAACCTGTGAGAAACAAGATATGATGCCAGAGGTGGACAAGCGGTCTGGGTCCCCAGAAAGCCAGATGGACAACACACTGAACATCCATGAAGATTTAGATAAAGTCAAACTCATTGAATATTACCTTAATAAGAACAAAGAAGGGTCACAGTTACCTGATAACGTGCAGAAGGCAGAATTAAGCGATGGCAAAAGTACTGAGCCAGTGGGAATAGACATCACCCTTAGTAGTTCTCTTCCGCAGACAAGTGATCCCCCGATTGAGGGCAAGGAAGAGCCAGATAAAACCTGGGCAAAAGAGAAAACACCCCTTCCGTTGCAACTGAGCTCCTCTACAGAAGAAAGTATGAATAAAGAGTATCCAGATTCTTCTTTGGAATCTATTCTGGACAATAGCTGCCAAGGTGCACAAATGGATAATAAATCTGAAGTTCAGTTATGGCTATTAAAGAGAATTCAGGTACCCATTGAAGGTAAGCCATTTTTAATTTCTTTCGATTCTGTATAGGCATATCTTGTTTTATTGTGTTTCACAGAAACTGCATATTTTTTACAAATTGAAGATCTGTGGCAACCCCACATCAAACAAGACCATTGGCGCCCTGTTTCCAACAGTATTTGCTGACTATATGTCTCTGTTTCACATTTTGGTAATTCTTGCAATATTTCAGACTTTTTCATTATTATATTTGTGGTGATCTGTGACCAGTGATCTTAGGTATTACCCCTGAAGGTTCAGGTGGTGGTTAACATTTTTTTAGCAATAAAGGATTCTCTAATTACATTGTACTCTTTTATAGATATCATGCTATTGTACACTTAGATGGACTACAATATAATATAAACCTGACTTTTATAGGCACTGGGAAACCAAAAAAACATTGTGTTACTCACTTGATTGTGATATTTGCCTTATCGTGATAGTCTGGGACCAAACCCACAATATCTCCAAGTATAGTTGCCTTTCTAAAATTTGCACATGCAATGGCAAAAGTGGTACAGTTATTGGAGAACAGTGTTTCCTCAATAGAGCATATCTTTATTGATACACAGAAGGGTTTGAACTGCACAGGTCCACTTGTATACAGATTTTTTTTCCAATAAATTTGAAATACAGTATTGCACCATCTATAGTTGTTTGAATCCATGGAGGAGGGCTATGGAGAGACAGCTCTAAAGTTATATGTATATTTTTACTGCAGAAGTGTCAGCATCTCTAAATCCTCTGTTGTTCAAGGGTCAGTAGTAATTGGGAAGAATCAGCAATATATGGTATCTATTTTGAACATTGAACTATGACACAGAATTCTATAACGAAAGTGGTGTGCTTTTTTAAAAATCTTTCAAGGAACTTTTCCTTTTTCACTTTGGTTTTTGAAGGTATTTCAGTTTTAAACTGAATGGCATTGTGGTATGATTTGGTCCTCAGTACCATTCACTAATATGTATTCTTGCAGGTTGTCACAAATCTCTACTCTTTGCTGTTGTGTTGGGTTTCATCCTTATTCCTAGTTTGTAGTATCTCAGGTGATGTAGACCAACGTGAAACATCCAGAACTTTTACCTTCTGTGCTTAAGAAGGTCTGAAAGATTTAGTTAGTTCTAATCTAACATGATCATGTTATATGATGTTTATGTCATATGCTTTGACTTTCCACCACAAAGAGGGGACTGGAAATTCTAAGTTGAAATATTTCGGTATCACCAATATTATTAATAATGGAGTTTTTTTTTCATGTGTGATTCAGATATACTTCCTTCAAAAGAAGAGAAAAGCAAGACTCCACCCATGTTTCTGTGCATTAAAGTGGGAAAACCAATGAGGAAATCCTTTGCCACTCACACGACAGCCGTGGTCCAGCAGTATGGCAAACGAAGAAAGCAACCGGAGTACTGGTTTGCTGTTCCTCGGGAGAGGTGAGTGTGGACTAGAATAGGAAATCTGTTGGTCAAGTAGACTCTAATTGCATCTCAATTTTTAATTTAGTCTTAAAATTCTTGATTTTATCCTTGAATAAGAGATTTCCCTTCATGGTACATCTTAGAATTTCTAAAAGGATATTATTTCAGTAGCTTTGGGCTTAAGGGTAATTTCAATATAGCAAATTTGAAGTCATCTTCGGTCTTGTGTGCTGAACCACTTTCAAAACTTTCTACCCAGTTGAATTTTAAATGAAGGAAGATTGAAGTATTTTCAGGTGCCAATAAGTGGAAGTGCTATTCTGTTGGGAATAAAGGAATATGATGGAGCAGAGCTCAACTCCAAGTGCTGCAGAAAGGCATGATTTTAATTTTAAAGTGCCTGTTATTCTTGGGGGACTAAAGATTGCTTTCCCCTTATGGAGAAAGTGTCTGTGAGTCAGCAGCATGAGAAATGTGACTGAAATCATCTGGGTATGCTTGGGGGGCTACATAGGCCTCTAAAGAGATTTGTATTTTTAAATTGCCAAAGAAGTTTTATTGGTGATGTGACTGTCTGGGACAGCAGGGACAGTGGCATGACATTCTTCAGCAGTACATCACTGAGTTCTTTATAATAGAAATATTTAGGACAAATATTTCTGAAATTTTTTTAGAAAAAAATTTTCTTTTTTTTTGTGATTGAATAAAAATTTCTTCACAGAGGCCTTGCAACTAGTCTTCAAAATTGTTAAACACACACATTTTTCCTTTTCCTAACTAGTCATCAAGGCATGCTATTTGGCTAACATACCTGCCAAGAATAAATATACTCAGTGAGTTTCCTTAAGCATGAATGTTTATTTATTTAAATTAACTTTTCCCCAGATATCTCAATATTGAAGAGATAATTTCATTTTACTTAATTTTTTTGGCCATGCCACTCAGCTTGTGGAAACTTAGTTCCCGACCAGGGATCGAATCCAGGTCCACAGCTGTGAAAGAGCCAAGTATTAACCACTGGGTCTCCAGGGAATTCCCCAGCATGATTTCTTAATAAAGCAAAATTAAATCCCAAACACGAGCACAACTTCTGGCTGATTAGTGCCCAGAATGGTAATTCTCATGAAGAATTGCCTGATCTTAATAATTCATAGTTTAATGTGAAGCTAATTAATAGAATTTTAATTAAGGAATTTGCTAATATTTGTTCTGTTTGGGATACAAACCCATGTTAATATAGACGTTAAATGTAATTTGTTTTGTGTTTACAAAGTGTAATCCTCTACCTGTGCTTGCAACCCCAACACTGACTCCTTCCAAGTTGACAGATAATGAGGAGATACAAAGCAAATGTGTGTCTTTTACATTTCTTCTTCTTGAAATATTTACACATAATTTCTGAAGCCCTGTGAAAATCAGAGTTCTAAAATCATATGTCATAGATGTATAATAGATGTTTAGGCCAACCAATTCCTGATTTTATTGGTGGAGAAAACAAAGTACTGACTCTTTCAGCTCTATTTAAGTTATGTGGATTCCTGGTCTACTGGGAAACCTACCTATGTCATTTTCTCTCTGGAAAAATGTAGTGTTTGTAATATAATGAATTTAGGTTTTTTCAGTTTTATTATCTTTGAGATGTATGTGTACCAAGGAATCTACATTATGGAGTAATTTATTTGCAGTCTCACACATGTAGTTATTTTATGGTCATTCATTAAGCCAGGATAAGTCTGTAATGCTGAAATAGCACTTCTCTTTGACCTCACACAAGTGGTTGTTGTGAGCTTTTTTAAAGTAGGTCACTTGTTGAATTACATTACATTGTATTTTATAGTGTCCCTGTTTTTCTTGTCTTTGGCTAGTAAAGAACCTGGCATACTTAATTGTCTTTCTTAAACTAATCATTAATTGACCAAATATTTTTCTGGGAAATATTACATTTCACTATGTTAATGATTTTTTATGTGTAGATGTTGGGAAATTTTTTTCAGTTCTTCTTTATATATTTCCTACTGTAAGGGAAGCCACATTTTAGTTTAAGATTGGGAAATAGAATAGAATGGAGAGCCCCAAAATAAACCCATACTTTTATGGTCGGTTAATCTACAACAAAGGAGGCAAGAATACAGGGCAAAGACAGTCTCTTCAATAAATGGTGCTGGGAAAACTGAATCACTTTCTTACACCACATAGAAAAGTAAAATAGGTTAAAGGCGTAAGTGTAAGACTTGAAACCACAAAACTCCTTCAAGAAAACATAGGCAGTAAGCTCTTTGACATTAGTCTCAGCAATATTTTTTTTGATACGTCTTCTTAGGTGAGAGCAACAGGAGCAAAAATAAACAAATAGGACTGCATCAACCTTAAAAGGTGTTTGCACAGTGAAGGAAGCCATAGAAAAATGAAACAGCAGCTTACTGAAAGGGAGAAGATATTTGCAGACTATATGTCTGATAAGGAGTTAATGTCCAAAACACATAAAGAGCTCAAATATGTATAGAACTCATACAACTTAGTATCCAAAAAAAATTCAATTAAAAAGCAGGCAGAGGATCTGAGTAGACATCTTTCCAAAGAAGACATACAGATGGCCAACAGGCATGGGAAAAGATGCTCATATCACTGATCATCAAGGAAATGCAAATCAAAATCTTGATACCTCACACCTGTCAGAATGCTTGTCATCAAAAAGACGACAAGAGTTGGCGAGGATGTAGAGAAAGGGGAACCTCATGCATTGTTGGTGGGAATGCAAATTGGTACAACCACTATGATAAACAGTGTGGAGGTTCTGCAAAAAATTTAAAAAGGAAGTACCACACAGTCTCGCAATTTCACCTCTGGGTATTTATTTGAAGAAAACAAAAGTCGAAAAGAAATATGCACCCCCAAATGTTGTTGTGTTGCTGTTCATTCACTCTGTTGTGTCCACCTCTTTGTGACCTTATGGTCTGCAGCAGGCCAGGCTTCCCTGGCCGTCACCAACTCCTGGAGCTTGCTCAAACTCATGTCCATTGAGTCAGTGATGCTACCCAACCGTCTCATCCTCTGTCATCCCCTGCTACTTCTGCCTTCTGTCTTTCCCAGCATCAGGGTCTTTTCCAGTAAGTAGGCTCTTCATATCAGGTGGCCAAAGCATTGGAGCTTCAGCTTCAGCATCAGTCCTTCCAATGAATATTCAGGACTGATTTCCTTTAGGGTAGACTGGTTGGATCTCCTTGCAGTCCAAGGGACTCTCAAGAGTCTTTTCCAACACCACAGTTCAAAAGCATCAATTCTTCAGCGCTCAGCTTTCTTTAAAGTCCAACTCTCACATCCATACATGACTACTGGAAAAACCATAGCCTTGACTAGATGGATCTTTGTTGGCAAAGTAATCTTCTTTTTAATATGCTGTCTAGATTGGTCATAGCTTTTCTTCCAAGGAGTAAGCATCTTTTAATTTCATGGCTGCAGTCACCATCCATAGTGATTTTGGAGCCCAAGAAATTAAAGTCTGTCACTGTTTCCTGAATGGGGAGAGAGTAAGTAGCCATTCCTGATTCTCATGGACCCAGCAGATGGAGAGTAGTCTGGAGCACTGACTGGCATGCTCGGACCACCCAGCCCATTCCAGTGCTGCCCCATCTGGGGCAAAGGTGCCAATGTGGGAACAGAGAGAGCACACACTTAGAGGAACTGAACCAGCTCATACCTGCTCCATCACCTTGCCATCTGACCCCGCACCCAATGAGACAGCATCAGCCACTAGGCACAGGGGAAACCCCAGCTCACACCTGGTTCTGGCTGTGTCTCCTCCATCACCAGCTCCACCTTCCACCTAAGTGAGAGCTGCCTGGACACCTGGGGAAAAACATGACCTGGGCTAACTTCATACCCTGCTCTCCCAACAGACTCACAGGCAGACTGTATCAGAATGCTCCTACACAAGGGCAGCCCTTCAAGACCTGGATAGGTAACTGTTTACCCCTAATTTCATAGAGACAGAGACAATCGTTGCAAACAAAAGAACAAGAAAAGTCCCTGAAAAAACAACTAACCAAATTAAAGATAAATTAAAGATAAATAATTTAGCAGATAAGCAGTTCAAAACATTAATAATAAGAATGCTAACTGAACTAGGGAAGAGGGCAGATGAACAGAATGAGAATTTTAATAAGGAACTTGGAAACAAAAGCCAGTCAGAACTGAAGACAGAAACTGAAATGGAAAACACACTAGAAGGAATTAACGGCACACACGGTGATACAGAACACATGAGCAATCTGGAAGATTAGAATAATGAAAATCACCCAATCAGAACAGCAAAAAGGAAAAAATGAACAATTTAAGGGACCTTTGGGACAACATCTGGCATACTAACAACCTCTTTATATGAGTCCCAGAAGGAGAAGACAGAGGAAAGGGTTAAAAATGTATTTGATAAAATTATGACTGAAAACTTTCCAGACCTGAAGGAGAGAAACATATATTCAGGTACAGGAAACAGAAGAGTCTCAAAGGAGTCTCAAATAAACCCAAGGAGATCCACCCCAACACATCATAATTAAAATGGCAAAACTTGAAGAGAGAATTCTAAAGGCAACAAGAGGAAAAGTCGTGTACAAGGGAATCCCTGTAAGGCTATCAAATGAATTCTCTGCAGAAACTTTGCAGACCAGAAAGGAGTGGAATGTTAAATTTGAAGTGCTATGAGAGGAAAAACCTATGCAACCAAGAGTGTTCTACCTGACAAGATTGTCATTCAGGATAGGAGAGATAAAGAACTTCTCAGAGAAGCAAAAACTAAGAGAGTTCATAAACACTATACCAACTCATTAAAAGCAATGTCGAAGGGTCTTCTCTAAGTGGAAAAGAGTAGGCTCCAAACTCCAGTAAGAATTTATAGGAAAGGAAAAAGCCCACTAGTAAAGGCAAGTATATAGTAAAGGCTGTGGATCAACCACTTGCATAAGCCAGTATGAAGATTAAAAGAGAAAAAAAATTGTAAAGTCAACTGTAACTATAGCTGA